TAGCCAGGACACTGGTTAGTGATGCACCCTGCACGTGCCAGTAAAACTCTCACCATAGTGATAGTGTCTGCACACTGAAGCCTGCTTAGTGTTGCTTAGTTATTGTTGCAATGGTTAAGTCACTTGCCCACCTATCTCTAGCTGGTTAGTGGTCCTAACCTGTGTAACCATTAAAAGGACACTCTAGCCCTGTGTTTCTCAACCTTTTTTGTTGGTTAAGAGAGTTGCCAGAGTTGCAAACCCCACCCCTGATGTACAAACTCGGGGGTGAATGGAATATAGACTCTGGGCGGAAGGTTCTTGGACGAGCAAGACTGTGACATGTGGTCTCTTGGGGCCCCTTCTCAGTCCTGCTTTTCCAGGTGGGATGAGATATCTTCCCTGAGAGCCACGTGCCAGGACTTCCGGGGCCCACATAGAAACCAGCTTGCTGCTTCTCATTCCCCACACCCTAGCCTTCCTTCAAGTTCTATAACCCACTCTCTTGAGTCCTCCACATTAAATCTCCTAATTTCCTCTCTTCCTCTCACAATCCTTGTTAGACATTTTTAAACCAGAGCTCAAGTGATTCACAACCACAAACTATTTCCCCCTTATTAGAGGACAGGGAGGATTCAGGCATCAAAGCCTCCTTAGAAATAAGGGGGAAGGTTTGGTTTCCATTCTGACAGGTAGATGTGCCTCATGTCCTAGATTAGGTTGGATCATGTTAAAGCAGTCGACATTACATTTCTGAATTAAAACTGGTTGAATAGCCATATCCTGCTATATTCTTCATCTCAATTAATCTCTACAACAACCACATGAAGTTGGTCCTATCACCAGTCCCATTTTAAAGATGAGGCAACGCAGGCACAGAGAGGTTAAGTAACTTGCATGAGGTCACACAGCTAGTAGTCAGCCAAGCTAAGAGGCTGGAACCATTCAACCACACTCACAAACTCTTAAGAGGCCCCACGGTGATCTGGCCTTAGGGGAGGAGTTAATCCCAGGAAGTGTTCACTCTTAAACCTTTCTCCAGCCTCTGGATTTAGTAGGCAGTCTATATATATATATATATATATATATATATATATATATATATGGAAGAATGAAGTTGCTAAGAGAAATTACAGTGGCCTACCTATGGCAGTCAAGCTAAGGGTAACTGCGGTGTGCTGGGGTCTATCTCAGGTCAGAAGGCAAATAATGCTCAGTCTCACTCTCCACCCAATGCCAAGGGTGGAAAGCTGAAAGCCCGCCCTGTTCCCTCCTGGGCAAAACTGAAACTTGCAAAGCGACCGGAGGGGAGATGGTTCTGGTGATCAGAATATCGAAAAAAGAAGGAAAGGTTTGGAGAATTATTGTGACAGTGACATAAAAAAAAAAGCATCCCTTCACTTTAAGCTGAAAATGTTTCCCTATGGACTAAACTAAAATGTCTAGACAGAATCTACTAGAATCTACAAGAGTCTGCTTCTTCAGATACTAACTTTTGACATTAACTATTACCCACCACACAGATATTAAATTTAGAATTCACCAGGTAATATTTGTTAGTGATGGTGAAGTATTTATATAGTACCTGGGAAATTTTTCTTTTTGTTTTTATTATATAAGCAATATAAGTTCATTGGAACAAAGTCAAACAGAACAGAAGGGAATGAATTAAAATATTAAGGCCATACCCTGATGCTGACCACTCATTTCAACTCCCCAGAAACAATTGCTTTTGTTAATAGTATTTCCATGCAGACAGGAGAAAGAATTCTTTTTTAACTGATGCTTTTAGACAAATGGGGGGGGATACTGTGCATTATGATTTTGCAAAAGCTTTTCTTAGTATATAAAAGCATGTATTGTGTATCTTGCCATATACAGCTTTTAATAGTTGTATGATACCGCACTTATTAGGGAAGACTGAAGAAAATTTGACTAGTGTCCTAGTAATGAACATTTAGGAGAAATACCTGAGAAATTATGAGAGTTTGCAAAATAATATAATGAATAAACATCTTTGTACACAAGCTCCCTACTAGAATATAAGTCCTATGGCAGCAAAAACTGTGCTTGCTTTGCTCACTGATGAACCCTCAGCACTTAGTACAGGCCCAACACATAGGGGATGCCCAACAAACATCTGTAGAGTGACTATATCTTTATGTGTATATGTGTCTATATGGGTATTTTAAATTTCTATATATATGATCAATCACTTTCCAAAATTATTACTGCCTTATATACTCCCTTCTATGTTTTATTTGCTTTGCTTTGCTTTGTTTTGTTTCAGTCAGCTGGGGATATGATTTTTAGAGCTCAAGGTAGTAGAGTGAATGCTTGTGTATTAGTTTCCTGCTGCTGTTGTGACAAGTTGCCACAAATGTAGTGGCTTAAAGCAACACAGATTTATTATCTTTTGGGTCTGGAGGTCAGAAGTCCAAAATGGGTTGGTAGGACTGTGTTCCTTCTGAAGGGGTTTAGGGAAAACTTATTTTCTTGCTTTTTCCAGCTTCCAAAGTCTGCATTCCTTGGTTTGTGGTGCCTTCCACATCATTCCAACCTCTGCTTCCACTGTCACATCTCCTTCTCTACTCTGACCCTCTTGTCTCCCCTTTTTCCTTGTGATTACCTTGAGCCCATCTTGATAATCCAAGGTAATCTCTCCATCTTGAAATCGCTGTCTTAATCATATCTGCAAAGTTCTTTTTGCCACATAAGGGATCTATGCATAGGTTCCAGAGATTAGGATGTGGATGTCTTTGGGGAGCCATCATTCCACATACCACAGCTTGGGAATCATGCCTGAATCTCAGCATTGTCACTTCAACTGTGTACCCCAACTACGTGTTGAGTCTCTAATCACCACGTCCTGAACTAAATCTAGGAAGCAGACTAACTAGCTCAGTGTCTTACCCCAGTTACATTCCTATCCTCTCTGTGCCTTTCTTTTCTCACTTGCATAACTGGAGAGATTAATACCTGTCTCGTACAAACTGCTGTATGTACAATGTCTGCAGGCATCCCTTTCCATTTCACCAGCCTTCAGAAATTACTATGTTCTGTTTTAATCTTGACAAAATGTAAGTAAAATATTGGATTAAGTAGTAATTAGGTAGAGAAGCAGATGCTCTTGTAAACTGCTGATGTGAATGTAAATTAGTACAGGCTTTCTAGAGGCCAATGTGGCACTGTGAATGTAATGAAAAGCCTTATAAATGTTTTATTTTTCTCTCTTTATTCCAGTAATTATCCATTTCTAAAGTGTATCTTAGGGGTATGGTTGAATTTATGTACAAAGATGTTCATTGAAATATCATCTATAATATTGGGTTAGGAAGAATGGAAACTGTCAGCCCTGAGAAAGAAGATACCTACTAAGAAGAGCTTCGGACGTGGCTACCTGGGCTCAAACTTAAAGAGAGCCTAACAGCCCTTTCTAGACAGGGGCCTCTCACACAGGTCGCATTTCAGGAAGAAGCCTGCACTAAGCTGCCTGCCTCCCAAACTGAATTGCCTGTTTAAACTGTGTTCCTAACCTCTGAGCCAACCCTATAAAGGAAATCCTGGAATCATATTCGGACCAATAGGACTGAGACTTACCCTGGCAAATCAGTGCTTGGCTTGGCAGCTATATCATCTTTAGCACTTTCACAGACCAATCAGAGAGGCTCCATTCTGACCAATCAGAACAGTGCTTTTTAGACCAATCAAACTGTGAGGATTTGCAGTCTCCATTTGTCTGAGGATGGACCACGGGGTGGAGACTTCTCTCTATATAAGTTAGATTCCCTGGGGCTCAGAGAGTACACCTTCCCTTTCCACCGGTGACTAGAGATTGTGTTTTGGTGGGTGAAACTGAAGCACCAAAGACATCTCAGCAATCCAGAATGGATAGAGTGGAGAGGGGCCTCCAATGAAGGAGCACGGTGGTGCTGTAACACAATCGGACTCTATGTGCCGAATAATGTTTCCTTCCTCACCACACCCCAAACTCGGCATTCCTGTTGACATTGATTTTGGCACCAAAGACCATTGGTCTAAATGTTCACAAATAAGGGATTAAGTAAGTAACTACCATATATCTCATTAGAGAATCTCGCCATGTGAAAGGATTTTGTGAAAGGATATTAAACATCCCGTTTAGAGGTTTGTCAAATGTTAATGACAAACTCGGGGTTTAAAACGGGGTTACTTATTAGCTCATATTAGAAAGAGAACTCAGTGTGGTGAGAGAGTGTGTGTATACTTTTAGTACCTATACTGAAAGTATAGATGACATGTTACAGTGGATACTTCGAGGTAATGGAATAACAAGTGATTTTTATTTTGGCTTACGTCTAATTTTTTTTCTAACAATGAAGGTTGGAAAAGGGGATTTCTACACAGAACAATTTCTCTCAGTAGATTAACAGGCATTTCTAGACATAGAACAAATACTACCAAATGCTACCGAAGGTGTCCCTCTAGTGGGAGGTGGGACAGGGCTACTGCGGAACACATGGTTGACACTATTTTAAATAGTTTATTGTATTAAAGACCTTCCCAGAGAAACAAAGGCCCTGAAATTAGTAAACTATTCTGCTTACTCAAAACATTTTTGTTCTAAGCGCACTTGGAATCACTTTTTCAGTTGTCATGGTCGGGTAACTAAGCTTCTTGTATTTCATTCTGCTGTCCTATATTTTCGTAAGGTGTGTTCCAGGTGCAGGTTTAGAACGCCTGACTCTCAAACCCAAAGTACCAGACAATGTGAATGACTGAAGCCTCGGGAGTGGAGCCTGAGGCAAGTACAGGACACCAGTTGTGAGCTCTAGCACCTCCTGGTGATTCTACCGAATCTTCCGTTCCACTCGGCTCCTCTTCGACTGAGTTCGGTCAGCACTCGTCTCTCTTCGGCTACGTTCGGCCAGCGTTCGTCTAATCGGGGTCTGCTGTCTTCGGCTTCCTTCGGGCTACGCTCGTCTAGGCTTCGGCTCCTCTTCGGCCGAGCTCGGCTGACTCTCATACTCACGGGCTCGGCTCCCTTCGTCGGCGTTCGGCCGCTACCCGGAAACGCACCCATGAAACCCGGACCGTCAGCTCGACTGACGGCTATGGCGCCGCTGCTGGAATACGAGCGGCAGCTGGTGCTTGAACTACTCGAAGCGGATGGGCTGGTGGTGTGCGCCCGCGGGCTCGGCGCGGACAGGCTCCTGTATCACTTCCTCCGGCTGCACTGCCACCCGGCATGCCTGGTCCTGGTGCTCAACACACAGCCGGCCGAGGAGGTGCGGCAGCGGGCAAGGGTTGAGTGCATCCCCACAGCGTTGGAGGCCTCCGGGGCCGACACGGGCCCCAGAGCGTACGCGAGGCCTCTGAGGATAGTGCAGGGCCCAGACGCTGGTGGGAAGGCACTAAATAAGGGTTCTTGAGGCTGGTGCAGAGCCCTGACACGGATGCGAGAGGACCCGAGGGGGGTGCAGGTCCCTGACTAAGGACAGTGAGAATGGTAGAGGGGCTCTGAGAGGAGTAGGGTAGTTATTTGAGGAGGATGGGGGCAGAGAGAAGAATTAGAGGCTCCTGAAAGAGATGGAGATATCTGTAAGAGGACAGGAATAATGAGAGAATCCCAAACTTGGATATTCAAAGAGCTTGCTGGGGTCAAAGGAGTGGAATCTCTGAGAGTAATAGGGAAACGTGAAAGATGCTGAGGCTGGGGAGAACCTTGTAGGGAAAAGGAGAGACTCAGAAGGTTCATCAGAGCTGTGGAAGGAGGGCCCAGGATCAGAAAAGAAAGGAGCTGGGAGCGAAGGATGTTGAGGAAGGGTACCTGGGGTTAAGGTGAGGGATCTATCTGTGCTGCGGGTGTTGAGAGGTGATGCAGGCTGTTCTGACAAGTCTTGTGAGCCCGGAGGAAAATGTCAGGCGAAAAGAGCGACTACAGCCTCCTTGAGGGCAGGGATCCTGTTCCATTCATCTAGGTATCTCCAGTGTTTGGCATAAGCTCAGCAACAACACAGCTTCCCCGTCCTTCATCCCCCAAGAAAGGTAGTATTGAGCTGAAAGTGTGAGGGCCAATGGTCCCATTGACACGATGAAATTCCCTCAAGGGTGGATCTTGACAGCGCTAAGTCAGAACACTAGCTGGGAAAAGGAGCCCCTGGAGGTCTCAAGCCCTGTAAACCTGGCCTTGATGGGAACTGGTCTCTAAGCAGCAGAAGTCTTTTAACCTAGGGTTTAAAAGCCTTTTTTTATTGTTGTTAAAATGCTGATAACAAGTGCAGTGATTCCTTAGTGTAAACCCCAAAACAAAAAAACAAGAAAACCCTAGTTAAATGTAGACTGGCTGATTGATCAACATAAAGTAGCCACTTAGTTTGTATATTCATTATTAAGTTTGTTATCTCTGAGAAGGGCAGCATATTACTTTAAATACAAATACCTGCAACCTAATAAAAACTGCCCACTGTATTAAACGGCCTACTAATCAAGTTTCATTTCATTTAGGAGTACTTTATCAATCAGCTGAAGATAGAAGGAGTGGAACACCTCCCTCACCGTGTAACAAATGAAATCACAAGCAACAGTCGCTATGAGGTTTACACACAAGGAGGTGTGATATTTGCAACGAGTCGAATACTTGTGGTTGATTTCTTGACTGATAGAATACCTTCAGATTTAATTACTGGTAAGAATTTGAAACCTTATTGTATATAAATTTGCACCTTTTGCTTTTAGTCTGTTCCCTCTGCTCAACTCTAAGCTAGAAACTTCTTGTGAGTTGCACTGGTCTTTTCAAACATTAGCACAATGTCAGACACGTTATTTATGCTCAGTATATACATATTTGTGGCCTGAGTAAGGAAAGAAATGTAAGATTGATTTTCCTTGGTTTCGAAGCTCATATTCGGTAACTACTTGGTAATCGGGTGGCATTTACTTATGGAACATAATCAGACTTGAATGTTTATAAACATTCTTTATATATTTTCTAAAATGTTTGGTTTTCCTCTTTAAAGAATATATTTCCCATGATGTGAATTAAACCAAATAGTTACTTAATTATTTTGAGAATTGTTTAATTTTAGCTATAATTAATATAAAAAAGGAATTTTTTATTACTATTTGTTTCTGTGGAAACCTTTTCTGATTTCCCCAAAGCTGCTTCAGAGGCCCTGGCTCTTAGCCGTCAGGTTACCCTGTGCTCCTCATAGCACCCAGACGGCCACCTATCATTGGCCTGTCTGTCTGTCTCACTCATGAGATTCCAAGCTTTGTAGGCACAGGGGCAACTTGTTCATCCAGGCCAAGTAATGGGTACATACTAGGTAGTAAACACATACCTGTTGAATGAGTGATGCATGGATGTACTGTGATCTGTAGTGAACTTGTGGAGGGCAGCAAGACAGGCAATTTGTAATTGTACTTCCCACTTTGTCTATCATATGACCCTGAACCTAGGAGACCCTCAAAAATATTTAATGAATAAACATATGAATGAATCCCTTATATGGTTCATAGTGAACCATACATATAAAGCAAAAGTTTCATTTTACTTTTATATGACATTTATAATTGTTATAAGCCAGGGCACAGACCATGTGGTCACGGATCACCTGACTACGTGGTAATGACTGTGCTTACTAGCAAGTTACTTAACTTTTCATTAAATTTTTTCATAAACCTGGTTTCTTATTTCTTAAATCAAGAAAAATAGTGCCTCCTAGAGTTTCTGTAAGAATTAAATGAGATGAAATAAATTGCTTAGTATTAGTGCTTGGTACGTAATAGCAAAAAATCAGTAATAGCAAAAAAAGATACTGGCTTTTTGTAATCAGAAGTCTTGGTGTATCATAAAGTCTTTTACTGTTTGCTGCTTTCTGATAGGTTGTTTTGTTTATTTTTCAAGTTGATAAAGTGGAAAAATATACATTGAAATGACCACTAGATGTCAGTAATCGTTCGACCTACTTAGGCACAGCAGAATCTGAGTCTAATAAGGGTTCAAAGGAGAATTTATAGGTAGTTTCTAATTAAAAGCTACTTTCTGTATAACTCAGTTAACTCATCTGTAAATTGGAGACAGCAATATTGCCTTCCTCCTAGGATTATTGTCAGGATTATTGAAATGAAATAACCTATGTAAAATTTAACATTCTTAGCATTGTGTGTGACTCATTGTAAGCATTCTCTGATTGCTGTGCGTTGTGATGGTCCAGTCCTCAGGCGGTGTCTTAGAGGAGACTGATGTGAAGAAGTATCTATAAAATGTTACGGAAGCATAAGAAATGTCAGTAAGCTTTTGTGGGACCAGAATTGCCCCAGAAATATGACCTTCTTATTGTTTTTATTTTTTAAAGGGGGGCTTTCAGATGGTGTCACTTGGTAGGAAAAACCTGGGTTTGTTCCCAAACATGATTTGGAACCTTTGGTTTCCCATTACAGGTTGGACGACCTTGATTAAGTTGCTTCCCTTTCCTGGTCTCGTAATAATAATGCCTACTCCGTAGAGTGATTGTGAGGGTTAAACAAAATAAAACTCTATGAAAGTGCCTAACCCTACGCTTCAGGTGTAGTATTAGTTCTTTTCTCCTTCCTCCTTCTGGACTCCCAAAGAATGACAACCTTTTGGAACACAACATTTTCTTAAATTGAAGTTCACCTTTTCTTTAGAAGGTATTTTTATTATTTTTTTACTTTATGTAATATTTCAATCAAGGTCCAGCATGGTCCAGCAAGCATGGCCCAGTAGAGTACTTAGAAAAACCTACCTACTACACGCCAAATTTTTTTTTTATCTTTATTGTATTTTTTTCCATTACCATTTAATCCCCTTAGATCATCCTCCCCCTAACCCCCAGCAATCACCACCACACTGTTGTCCATGTCCATGAGTCCTTTTTCCTTTTCCCTCCAACTGTACATGTACTGGGGTGATTGAAAATCCTTTGTCTTTAAATTCCTAAATAATGCTACTAGTTTTTACCTTAGTTTTAAAAAACAATTTGCTTAGGTAGAACACATATTAGCTCCACCTACCTTGATCCAAAATTTAAACATCAAAGTAATAGAATCTGAACTGAGTTTATTGACCTGCTGGAAGGGGTCCTTGATTACTGTTGGTGTCACTTTCCAGACCGTAGGAGTGATGGCGCCTGGAGCGAAAACATCCAAGCACATTTATAGCAAATGGACATAAGTTACTGGCTGGATTTACATCTAAAAGACTGAGAATCATCATATAATTGAGTTTGGGATCCAGAAAGGAAGTCTGCGCGCTCTTATGTCATCTCATGTCTCTCCCTAATTTGTCACTAATCACACCACATCAGAATTCTGCACATTCAAAAGATCGTCTGGTCCAGGAATCATTTTATAAATAAGGGAAAATGTGTAATTGTTCTTGTTTTTGTGATTCAGAGGTGTCATCTCCACACCCACATGAAAAAAACCTTATCTATTAAACATTAAAGGTTTTTATTTTAAATGGAGTCATTTACCACTCAACTGAATATTCTGATTCTGAAGATTGAGTTATTCTAATAGGATACAATGTGACAAAACATTCTAATAGGATAAAATATATCTAAGAGGATCTCATGTGATGCACCTGTTGCCCGAACTTGGAAAATACGATGATTTTGCCTCGTCCCCATCTGATTCACATATAAAAGGAGAAATAGTGACCCACTCACCTTTCAGAAATTCTTTCTCCACTGGGCACCCCACCCCAGGGCCTCCGCCCCTGTCATTCCCCCTGCAGCTCCCCTGGCCACGAGGCTCATCTGGCCTCCATGCAGCCTTTACTCCACCGCCTTAGTGAGGCCGCTCTGTCCGAAACGGCAGACCACCACCCTTCACACATCCTGCCTCTCCCTCTCTGACTTATTTGTTCTCCTCAGCTCTTATCACCTTATAACCTACCAAATAGTTTACTTACTTACTTGTTAATGTAAGTGCCACGGGGACAGGAATTTGCTTGTTTCCTTTGAGGCTGTGTACCCCCCACCTAGAACAGCGCTTGCCCGTGCTCAAGCAGGCACTCAAGAAAAATGTGATGAATAAGTGAATGAAAGTGAGCCTGAAAATTACATGTCTGTTCTGTCACTGAAATTATAATTTCTCCCCTCAGGCATCTTGGTGTATAGGGCTCACAGAATAATCGAGTCCTGTCAAGAAGCGTTCATCTTGCGCCTCTTTCGCCAGAAAAACAAGCGTGGTTTTATTAAAGCTTTCACAGACAATGCTGTTGCCTTTGATACTGGTTTTTGTCATGTGGAACGGGTGATGAGAAATCTTTTTGTAAAGAAGCTATATCTGTGGCCAAGGTAAATAGCATTATGTGATCAATTTCTGAGAGAAAATCTGCCATCATTTAATTTTGCACTTTAATGTAAAATTTACTGTAATTGGACTTGATACATGCTAGTCAGGTTCATAGCAAGTGCGTTCAAATATAAATACTGTCTGGTCACCACATTGGTGATTCTTTTATTTATTTATTTTTATTTCTTTTTTAAAAGATTTTATTCATTTATTTTTTAGAGGAGAAGGGAGGGAGAGAAACATCAGTGTGTGGTTGCCTCTTGCGCACCCCCTCCTGGGGAGCTGGCCCGTAACCCAGGCATGTGCCCTGACTGGGAATTGAACTGGTGATCCTTTGGTTTGCAGGCCGGCGCTCAGCCCACTGAGCCACACCAGCCAGGGCACATTTGTGATTCTTTTAAAAGAAGAGCGAGATTTAAAGTTATTTTCTGGTAGCACATCAGTGTGTCCCAGTGCAACCATGTCACCCTTCCTTGTCCACGCAGTGCAACCCCCAGAGATCTCCCTGGAGCACAGGTGGCAAACGCAAGGCCTGCGGGCCCTGCACCTTTTTTTATCCGGCCCGGCGCCTTGTTTCTACCCAGTGGCAGTGCCGAGCTCTTTGCCCCTAGTTAAGGAATAGTTACGTTTATACAGTCCTAACATTACATTCGGCCCTTTGAAGGCAGCTGCGAGGTTGATGTGGCCCCTGGTGGAGGAGAGTTTGACACCCCTGACCTAGAGACTCACATACACTGCAGGGGTAGGTGAACTACAGATTTATTGGCAGAGACTCCCATTTCTTCAGAATTACCCATTGGGGAAATAATGCCCAAAGATTTTTTTAAAAGATTTTATGTATTTATTTTTAGAGAGAGGGGAAGGGAAGGAGAAATAGAGGGAGAGAAACATCAATGTGTGGTTGCCTCTCACATGCCCTGTACTGGGGACCTGGCCTGCAACCCAGGCATGTGCCTTGACTGGGAATCGAACTGGCGACTCTTTGATTCGCGGGCTGGCACTCAGTCCACTGAGTCACACCAGCCAGGTCACCCAAAGATTTTGAAGAATTTCTGTAAATTTCTAGGAAAAACAGGAGGTCTCAACTGTCAAACATTTTGCCACCTATGCTAAATAGGTATTTTGGTTATACTATATGGTATTTAAGAGTAGTTGTTGCCCTGGCCAGGTGGCTCAGCTGGTTGGAGCATCATCCCGTGCACCAAAAGGTTGTGGGTTCCATCCCCACTCAGGGCTTATGCCTAGAATGCAGGCTCGATCCCCAGTTGGGGCAAGTGCAGGAGGCAACTGATTGATGTTTCTCTCTCACGTCAGTGTGTGTGTCTCTCTCTCCCATCTCTTCCTCTCTCCCTAAAGTCAATAAACATATCCTCGGGCGAGGATTTTTTTAAAGTAGTTGTTGTAGTCCTTGTTTCTTGATTACGCCTTCTTTTGGGAATCAACAGACTTTTCCTGGAAGAGGCCAGACTGTAAAGATTTAGGCTCCGCACGGGCCATGTGGCCCGTCAGCTCCGCTGCCTGGTGTGACCGCACCCGTGGACGACACATGCGCATTGGGCAGGGCCGTGTTCCAGTATCTGTAAAAATAGGCCCTGGATTCAGCCCAGACTGTACATAGTTTGCAGACCGCTGCCTTATTGGAATAGTTTCCATTCATTGAGGTTAAAAGTATTCCTCAAAACATTGCCATTTTTCTATTTTTTTTCTCCATTGCATTTACAAAAAAAAAGAAAAAAAGTTAGACTATGAAACTAAGACCAGAAATACGTAACTGTTGAAACTCTAGAAAATGTTTGAAAAATATTTGTCTCTTTAGGTTTCATGTAGCAGTGAACTCGTTTCTAGAGCAGCACAAGCCCGAAGTGGTGGAAATCCATGTCTCCATGACGCCGGCCATGCTTGCCATGCAGACCGCCATCCTGGACATTTTGAACGCATGCCTGAAGGAGCTGAAGTGCCATAACCCGTCGCTCGAAGTCGAAGATTTATCTTTAGAAAATGCTATTGGAAAAGCCTTTGACAAGGTGCTCTATTTCTTTTCCTTTTTAAGCCCAGTTTATTATAACTTTAAAGAATGCAAGGTATTTTAATATTTGCAGTGTTCTTAATAGGAATTCGCTGTTGTTTATAATTAAATTGGAGGTGATTTAAAGTATAGATAGCTTCTTTGAGTTTACTGGAAGTAATCGTTTGTAGTAAAATATGTGGATTGGCATATAAGCACAATTCTGACTTTTGTGATGATTGTCTCATTTTAAGTACAACTAGGAAGAGGATAAACAATCTTTTTGCTCTTAAATGACAGCATTTGGATGTCTACAGGCGGAAGAGTTTTACATAAGACTGCTTCAGAATTTATGGTCTCTTGTTTAGAGTAAAAATCATTTGGATGAGTTTTCATTCATGAGGGAAATGTGAAATGTATTCTCTTAAAATTGCACTCTGAATTGAGAAAACAGTTCAAGGAACTTTTATTCTAACTTTTGCATCACAGATTAATATTAGTGCAGATAGATAAATGTCTGAGACTGAGCTGGAGATCCAGAACATGCTGACCTTTAAGAATTCCAGGCGGCTTTTAAAAAAATATATTTTGGTAGACTAAGTTCCTGGATTTAAAACTTTAAATCAACCTCTTTGTCACTGTAAAAAAAAATTTACTTAGTTTATCAGGTCTTTTCTATTCTGACTAATATATAAGTATGGAAAATTATTCATTCTATCCGATCATAAAGATTCTACTCATAAAGCACTCTGCATTATATTTGAAAAATTATAAACATTTTTTAGAATCTCATGGCCTGAAATTTTCTATCTACTTCCTGGGAAGATAATATTTTGGAACTTTTTCATTGTGATAAAATATACATAACCAAAATGTCATTTTAAGCATTTTTAGGTATTTTGGAATGTTTATTGAAACCATAATCTGTATTAATAATAGCGACATTGAACATATTTTAGCAATACTACATTTTATTCTTGTTTTAGACAATCCGCCATTATCTGGATCCTTTGTGGCACCAGCTTGGAGCCAAGACTAAATCCTTGGTTCAGGATTTGAAGATATTACGAACTTTACTGCAATATCTCTCTCAGTATGATTGTATTACATTTCTGAATCTTCTGGAATCTCTGAGAGCAACAGAGAAGGCTTTTGGTCAAAATTCAGGTGGGAGATAAAAGTATTAATATTATCCTAGGAGCTGATTTGGATGTAGTTCTGGATTTTGTTGAGAAATCGGTGTGGGGCGTGCAGTGCTCCCCTACATTGTGTACTAACGTTTCAGATTAAATCTTCATAGCACAAGCATGTAGGTTGTATTGATAGCTGATGTTTCCACCTACTTAACTTCTGTTCTATATAATAATAAATATTCATATCCGTTCTGGGCAATTTTATGTATAGAAAAGATTGTGTATAATACAGGCAGTCCCCAGCCTAGAACTAGCTTGCATTCTGGAAGTTGAGTTGTTAAGAATTTAAAATTCCTTTTTCTTGCAGAAACAGTAAGGCAGTCTGGGGTTTCTTCATCAGGAATGCTGAGGACCAAGAATGAGAGATTTGTAAAGAAACACACACGTGTGACTGGCCACTCTCTTGCGTTCCCATCAGTCACATCCTCCCCCTACTGTTGTGGCCTGTGTCCCTGTTTGGCTAGACCAGTGGTTTTCAAAGTGTGGGTCGTGGCCCCTGAGGCCAAGATTTAATAGGAGAAATAATTTTTACTGCTTCATCAGAGACATTGTTGAGCGATAAACAGCAAATGCACTGCAGGGAAGACCACACCGACTGCCAGGACACTTTGGTGCCACTGCCTTGATGGTGCTCGTGCACCAGCAGTGTTACCGACGCCTGCTTCTGCACAACGATAGGGAATGTCAGCACAGGGGGACAGAGTCAAGTAATGGGCTTGTGCTGTTACAGGCAGGCTGCATTATTAGGAGAAGAGTCCCCCTGAAACTATGCTGGGGATCCCCGGTGGCCTGTGGCTCAGGCCACGCTGAAAAGCGATGGTCTAACCAACAAAGACAGAGGCCACTGTAAGGGAGAAGCTGGGGTTCGGAGAAGAACAAGGTGGCGGCCCGATGTGCACACAGGGCATGTGATCATCCGAGATTCTTTAAAATTAACTTTAAGTTGAAGGGCTTCTTTTTAACTTTTTATATTAGGTTGGCTATTTCTTGACTCCAGCACCTCGCTGTTTGTAAATGCTCGAGCAAGGGTTTATCGTGTCCCAGATGCTAAAATGAGTAAAAAAGGCAAAGTGTCCGGAAGAGTGGAGATTAAAGAAGAGCAAGGTATCTTTATGGGCTTACATCTTTAAATGTGTCTTTATTTGAGTATTTGGAGTGGAATTGTTTATCAAGTTACACTATAATTTTAAAGCTCTTTTCAGCCATATGAAAAATGTGTGACTGTGTGTTCAGTGTAGTTACACATAACATATGTAATGTGTGTTAAAAGTGTTCGCCGTGACAAGTCTTAGAATCCATTGCCAGGGAATTCCAACTAATAAATGCCAAGAATCAAACAAGTGTATTCTTACTGCAACATAAGAACTATAGACTTTTTTTTAACTTCAGAGTAATTACTGCTTGGGGCACTTAAAGTCTTAGTGGAACATTTTAACATCCCTTTAGTTTTTAGAGAACATAAATATACTAGAATGAGGCAAATCTAGATATATTCCAACACTCATCTAGTAGGTATAGTAAATGTAACTGTTCTTTAAATTACGTGTATTAGGTTAACACTGGTTAGTAACATACAAGTTTCCGGTGTGCGGTTCTGTAGCACATCATGTGTGTGCTGCACTGCGTGCTCGCCTCCCAGAGCGCGGTCTCCTTTTGTCACCATGTCTGACCCCCTTTACCCTCTTGGCTCTCCCCCCACGCCCCTCCCCCTCTGATAACCACCATACTACTGTCTGTGTCTGTGAGTGTGTTTGTTCTGTTTGTTCACTTGTTGCTTCCTGTTTTATTTCCACATATGAATGAAATCATATGGTTCTTGTCCTTTTCTTTCTGACTTATTTTACTTAGCATGATACTCTCAATCTACATCAAACTAAAAAGCATCTGCACAGCAAAAGAAATCATCAGCAAAACAAAAAGGCAACCAAGTGAATGACAGAAGATATTTGTAAATGGTATCTCTGATAAGGGCCTAATATTCAAAATATGTAAAGAACTCATACAACTCAACAACAAATTGGTCATTGTATGTTTAAGGTGCAGGATAAGGTTAATGCTTAGTTTGTAGTTCAAGGCTCTATTTCAAAACTTAATTCAGTATATTATTAGTGACCATGAATATCACTCTCTGTCAAGGCATTATGAAACCCGTGTTGATGTTGGCGTGAAGTGTCTTTGATTTAAACCACAGGAGACCATTTTCAAGGAAGCAGATCCTGTCTGGTATTAGGGAGGAAGCTCAAAAGGAAAGGGTTTATAAAACGGTGCTTGTGTTTCTGTTGTTCAAAAGTCTTCAGAAAACTTCATGGATAAATATTATCACAGAGAATGAGGTTATCTTTTATTTCTGTACAGAAACAAAAAAGGAACTGGTCCTAGAAGGCAACCCTAAGTGGGAAGCACTGACTGAAGTACTGAAAGAAATTGAGGCAGAAAATGCAGAGAGTGAAGCCCTCGGTGGTCCAGGTAGGTAACAAGGAGATGAGGACATCTGCTTTCAAAATCAAACAAGTCAGTCTTTCTGGTTAGCTCTTTAAAAATAACTTACTATTGTGTTTATAAAATTGTAGAGGAATAAACGCTAAAGGAACACCAAATCCTAGCAGCCACCCTCTTTCTGTTCATTCAGTATGACCTTCTCCAGGTTAAATCATTTGTACATTCATGAAAGCAGGTTCTTTTACTGGTCTGGTTCTCAGGAATTCTATTTAAAGATTCCCCTGATCTCCACATTTATATTTACCAGGCTTGAAATCTGGAATACCCAAGGAGAAAACCAAAGGATCTTGTTTTACTTTCTCAGGAAGTATTTTCCCAAAGAAGCATGAACTGTTGTAAGGGCTGACACAGACCTGGCCTTGCGAACATTCCAGATTTTAGGGCTGCTCTCTTCAAACATGAGCATGCTGGTTGGTTAGTATAGACTAAATCTGAACTAAACTTAAAAACTAAAACCAAATAGAAAATAAAAGAAAACTAGACTTTTATATGTATCTGTTGAGTCTTTGAAATCGTGCAAAGCAATAAAGGCAAACACACACAATGCTTATGTTAGTAAATATGCTGGTGATATTATCCAGAACTGATGGTGCTGTGATTTAGGACCTGAAGTCATATGTGCTCACCTGGAAAAAGTAAAAACAAAATAAAGATAGCAGAAAAGGAAAAAATGAGGTCTAGCAGCCATTATGAACTTTGACATCTTTTCTTCCAGGTTTTCTTTCCCGTATTTTCTATTTCACATTGTTAAAGTCATGTATAGGTATAATTTCTGGGTGTAGAATTGACGAGTCAAATGATATTAACATTTTCAAAGTTCTAGAGACATATTAACACAATGCTTTACAGAAAGTTTTTAACAACGTTTACTTTTTCTAGCAGGATAAGAAGAGCTTATTTATTTTTCACTTAGCTAACAATGACTAGAGAGTCCATCTGTGTGTGTGCATGCGTGTGTGTGTATACACATATATATGTAATAATTTTATTAATTTGATTAGAGAAAAATGTCATCTTGTTTTAAATTTTGATGTTAGACCAGCTCAGTACTTTCTCAAATGCATCTTTTCTTTTGTGACCGATCTTAGTTTCCTTTGCCAACTTAGGCTATGCCCTTAGTTTGTGTGGGCTTTTTATATAGTAAAGATAATAACATTTATCATTGTTGTGTAAAGTTGTTTTGTCTTTAGGGTTTTTTAATTATATTTTATTGGTCATGCTATTACAGTTGTCCTGATTTTTCTCCCTCTGCCCACCTCCACCCAGCGCCCCCTGCTCCCTCAGGCAATCCCCCCACCATTGCCCGTGTCCATGGGTCACACATATAAATTCTTTGGTTACTCTATTTCCTATTCTGTACTTTACATCTTCTTAGTTATTCTGTAACTACCTATTTGTACGTAATCCCATCACCTCTTCACCCATTCTTCCCCTACCCCTCCCCATCTGGCGGCCATTTGGTAACTAACTTCTTTCCTCTTACTGCTTTTAAGACTCTATCTTTAACCTTTGGCATTTTAATTATGATGTGTCTTGGAGTGGGCCTCTTTGCATCCATCTTGTTTGGGACTCTCTGTGTTTCCTGGACTTGTATGTCTATTTCCTTCACCGAATTAGATAAATTTTCTTTCATTATTTTTTAAAATATATTTCCAAATTCTTGCTCTTTCTCTTCTCCTTCTGACACCTGTATGATGCAAATGTTGGATTGCTTGAAGTTGTCCCAGAGGCTGCTTATACTATCCTCATTTTTTAGGGTTAATTTTTCTTTTTGTTGTTCTGCATGGTTGTTTTTTCCTTCCTTAAGTTTCAAATCTTCGATTTGATTCTCTGCTTCATCAACTCTACTGTTTCACTGTAAATTGTTCTTTATTTCATTAGTGTATCCTTTGTTTCTGACTGGGTCTTTGGATCTTTTTTATGCTGCTGAGGCCCTCACTAAATTCCTTGAGCATCCTTAGAAACAGTGCTTTGAACTCTGCATCTTATAGATTACTTATCTCCACTTTATTTAGCTCTTTTTATGGAGTTTTGATTTGTTCTTTCATTTGGGTCGTGTTTCTTTGTCTCCTCACTTTGGCAGCCTCCCTGTGTTTGTTTCTGTGTATTGGGTAGAGCTGCTGTGACTCCATGTCTTGGTATCGTGGCCCAATGTAGTAGGTGTCCTGTAGGGTCCAGTGGCACAGCTTCCACTGTTACCCAAGCTGGGTACCTGAGTTGTGCTCTTCTTGTGGGCTGAGTACACCCTTCTCTTGTAGTTGAGCCTTGATTGCTGTTGGAAGATCAATGCGAGGGATTTACCCAGGCCAGCCAACTGCAAGGACTGGCTGTAACCACTGACCACCAACCTCTAGCCTCCGTGGGGGATCAGCTGTGCAGGGCAGGGTGGTGGTGCTCCGATATGGTCTATAACCCTGTACTGGGTGTGCTGGCTCTGGGGTTTCCCAGATGGTACAGACCAAGGTCAGCCCCGACTTGTGTTTTGCCCAAGGCACCCTGTGTGAGCTGAAAAGTAATCTGGGATGACCGCTATTTGTGCTGGGCTTGGAGATTTTCAGGTGAAACCAAGCTGTGAATCTAATCTGGCTGCTGCTACCACTCACTGGAGCCAGCTATTGCTTATTTGATAGGACTTAGGAGCCAAGACCAGCTATTCTTATGGAAAAGCAGCATGGATGGGCCTGTAAATTGGGTGGGGCAGAGCCTGTGGAGATCTCCAAGGTGGGTCACACAGGTTAGCCAGACTGATGGAGACAGATTTGCCACCATCTGGCCAGCTCTGTTGGGGGAAGGATTAGAAAAGGGACAATGTCCTCTCTTCATGTTGGTGCCAGACACTTCAGTTTCTCCCTGTGTACCACTGGTGCCGTTAAAGCTGCTACCCCAGTGCTGCAGCTCGGAAAGAGTGAGTCTGAGTAGTTGAGTCTGTGCGTGGGCTCTTTAAGAGGCACTGCTTGGGGCTCCAGCAGTTTCTTCCACTGACTCAGTCCCCGCTAGGTTTCTCCCCCGAAGTTGTGGGGACTTATCTTCCTGTTGCTGGAATCCTGGGTTTGGGGGCCTGGTGTGGGTCTGGGACTCCTGGCTCCAGAGATATCCCTCCCAAATTTTTACCCAGACGGTGAGGGGCCAGCCCATTCCACATCTGTACCCCACCTACCAGTCTGGATGGATGTGGTTTCTTTAATTCCATAGTTGTCAGACTTCCATTCATTCTGATTTCATAGTTGTCAAGCTTCCATTCAGCTCAATTTCTGACATTCCTGAATGATGGTTGTTCTATATTTTAGCTGTAATATTGATGTGGTTGTGCAAAGAGGTGAGTCATGTCTACCTATGCTACCATCTTGATTGGAAGTCTGTCTTTAGTTTTATTTAATGCAGTTTTTTATTCTTAGAGAGTCAGTCTTAACTTATAGATATCAATCTTCTCTGCTATTTCTTCTGTTGCTTTTGAGCCTAGAAAAGCATCTGCAGCCAGACAGATGAAGAATAGTAACCTTTTTTTAATAATTTAGTATTTAGCATTTGACTCTTTAATCCACTTGGAATTTATTCTGATGTATAAGATCCTCTGGAAATTATCAATTAAAAAGAGCTTCTTCAAAGCCTCCTTCATACCATGGCTATACTTTCATAAGATTAAATATTTCTGGCTTCAACTTTACTCAAAGCTTTACGTAATCCTGCGTCTAAGACCCTTTTTTAAACAAATAGTAAATGTTTTATCTTTCGCACCAAGAGGTAAAATGTGCCTTCCTCATGAGGAAGGCGATGAGGGGACCCATGGGGGATAGGAAGACAAGTAAAGTAACAGTAACATAAAATCGTTTTCTAATTTTAGGTCAAGTACTTATTTGTGCAAGCGACGACCGAACGTGTTCCCAGCTAAGAGAGTACATTGCTGTTGGAGCAGAGGCCTTCTTGCTGAGACTCTACAGGAAAACTTTTGAGAAGGATAGCAAAGCTGAAGAAGTGTGGATGAATTTCAGAAAGGAGGATGGCTCAAAGAGAATTAGGAAATCAAACAAAAGACCCAAAGACCCCCGCAAAAAAGAAAGAGCTTCTACCAAAGAAAGGACTCTGAAAAAGAAAAAACAAAGGTTAACTTTAACTCAGATGATGGGGAAATCTGAAGAACTTGAAGAGGAAGGGGATGGCAAGGAAGGACATCCGAGAGACTTAGGCAGTAGCCCAGAAAGCTGCTTAGAAGAAAGTAAGCCTGAGGAGTTTGAGTTAAACTTGTCATCAGATGCCGCTTATGGAATTCTAAAAGACCCGCTCACTATCATCCACCCGCTTCTGGGTTGTAGCGACCCCTACGCCCTGACAAGGGTACTCCACGAAGTAGAGCCAAGATACGTGGTTCTGTATGATGCAGAGTTAACGTTTGTTCGTCAGCTCGAAATTTACAGGGCAAGTAGGCCCGGGAAGCCTCTCAGGCAAGTTATAAACTATGAACTGTATCTTAAAGGCTTCAGATTCACAGTTTTGTTTTTCATACTCACCTGAGGATATGTTGCTCTATTTTAGAGGGAGAGAAAGGAGAGAAACATCAGTTGGTTTCCTTCCCATAGGAGCCCTGACCAGGGATCAAACTTACCACCTCGGCATGTTCCCTGACTGGGAATGGAACCTGCAGTCTTTTTGGTGTCTGGGATGATGCTCCAACCAGCTGAGCCACCTGGCCAGGGCTCACAGTTCTTTAGGATTTAACACAGAATCTATACCAGTTGCATGTGGGTTTTTCTTATCTTTAACATTCTGTTGTTACAATTTTGGTTACATTTATGAAACCTTATTTTACTTGCTGATGAATCTGGGAAGCTTGCATAGGAAAGCTATCTACTGTAGAATAACAAAGAATCCAGGGGACTTCTTGGGTCCCCATTACCTGCTGCTCTGCTGTTTTGTACCATGTTCTTTATGCCTTGGTTTGCAGCTTATGAGGCGCTCTAAGAAATTTATAAAATCCTAGCTTCTCTCCAAAATTAATGTAATCGCGACTCAGATAAGTAATTTCAATCTTCTAAAATCTCCTTCTCCGTAAATTTTAAGAAGTGACTTTTGAGTTACATTCATATAAAACTAAAGTATGTGAGGAATTATTGTACCAACTTTTCTTGGACTTCAAGAAATATCAGATGAAAAATCTACAGAAATAGATGAGAAAAAGATCCCTCCCAAAGAATATAGTGTTCTGGCTCTGCAATTATATGACGGGAAATAAACAGCAAAATTAATATCCTGGATGCAGCCTGAACCAAAAACAGAGCCAAAAGATATTTCTCTAGCAGTTTAACAAATGCAGCCTTTCAGAGTAGAGATGAATGGAGGAAGTGGATCAGAAATAATGCAGGAGAAAGAGATTAGACAAACCTGGTAAAATAATTATAGACTGGTAAGTTTTTCATTCTTTGCTATTGATCAACTTTGTAGACAGCTTGTCTGTTCTTTGTTGCCTGAGAATAAAATAGTGTGATATTTGCAAACAAAATGTCAGAATGTTAAGGGACCTGGGGGTTCAACAGCCCACTCTGTCAGAGGGAACCTGAAGCCCACAGATGGTGAGTGACATGCCCTGGTCACATGGCACATTCACAGGAGCACCAAGGTCTCTGGACTCACTGTCCAGTGGTCTCTTCCCTGTCCACACTTCAAAGAACCTAGAAAGATGCCGTCTAGAAGGAAGATCGAGGGCTAAAAAAGGAAAATGTCTCTGATGGAAGGTGAAGAAATGGGACAGAAGAGGAGCTTGACTCATCTTCTTAGCAGGAAACAAGATAGAAAAGCAGATCTTTTCTAAGACAAAAGTATATATCAAATTATTTCTTGAGGAGCCTGATATAATCCGTATGTCTTCAGTGTCTGTTTATGTAAAACGGTGATGGCTCAGTTCTGTTAAGACCTGAATAAAGAGAACTGAGAAGTTACCTAGGAAGATAAAGGTCATATAGATTTCACTTGCTTGTCTTTCACTAACATGAACTTTCATAAGCTGGTTTTTATTACTACTGTCCAACTTTTTAAATGTTTATTTGGCAGGGATGCAAAGAAAAATTGTAAAAAGAGAAGCCACTGAGATTTTGTGTTTTCTGACTTGTTTATAGTTCTAAGGAAAGAATTATTCTGTCCCTGTAGTTATATTTCAGTGTTTACCTAAACTTTGTTCCTCCTTTTTGGCAAAAGAAAAGAAACCCATGTGGTAATGAGACCTTTAACAGGTGGGGTTTAGGCAGCTTAATTTCAGTAAGTATGTGATTAATGGAGCCTTTTATCTTTAGTCAAATATTTATTATTTGAGCACTACAGGTTGCTGATTTAAAATGCTGTGTTCTTCCTTTCAGGGATTAAAGGTTTTTGCACTCTAAAAGAGCTCTGTCTTAACTTGCAGGGTTTACTTTCTTATATACGGAGGCTCGACTGAGGAACAACGTTACCTCACTGCTTTGCGGAAAGAAAAGGAAGCTTTTGAAAAACTCATAAGGTAATGCATAGATCAGTATGAAAACACAAGTGATATTGGAGGCCTTTCAAGATCTAGAAGCTTCTCTGGGTGGGGGCATATCTAATAGCCTTCTGGAAAGATGGAGACGGGAAGAAGTTGGAGAGGATCACATCAAGATGAATCACGACATATATCAGCACATACTTCCTTTTTCTCTCCCCCTCTCTTCACCGTGTCCAATTGCTTTCCGTGGTTCAAGAGGATGTTAGAAATGTGAAGAGAACTGCTTTTCTGCTCAAAAAGAGATGAAACTGAAACACTACTTTTCTAAGACATGTGTTCTTAAAGTTCTATCTGCTCTTCCCCCGCACACGAGACTTCTCCCATTCCTGTGAATTATGATTTTTTCCTCCTTGTACAGTTTCCATGGTCTGTGGGTGGGTGATGGCTTGACTCTTTACTGGGAGATGCTGTTACTTCCCAGGCAGTTCAGATCAAATGGTGGCTCTGGGAACATATTTTTGACAAGGTGTGACGTTGGTCTGAACATACATCCATGCTTTTGAAAATGAGTATCCTTTAATGTTCTGTATCCAAACAGAAAAAGCCATTCAGTTTAGTATAAGGAAAATGTTTTTAAGTGAGACATTCACAGACTGGATGGCTGCCTCTCAGCCCTGCAAGTGTTTGAGAATCTTATAAATCCCACTGGGGATGTTACGAAGGAGAGCACGGCTTGGTGAGAGAAGAGGATCTCCAAGGAGCCTCAGAAGCCAGGGCAGGGGCTGGACAGGGCATCCTTGAGCAGAGGCAGAACACAGTGGACCAGAAGAGACTGCGACCTGGGCCGAGTGTGGCTGGGCCAAACCCATCTTCCAGGCCGCAGACACTGGCAATGTATCGGTGGCAGTGAAAATTTCAAAATGGACAACCATCCTTCAGCACTGGCTGAGGACTCTCGGTATATGCATTAAAACATACACGGTCCATACAGGGTCCCTTCCCTGCAGACCCTCTGTGATGGTGGCCTGCCCTGTTGATGGATTCTTCTAGTGCCTAGTCACACAGTTATTGGTCAGTCCTTTCTGCCTGGATATGTATTTTCTTCTCTTTAATAGTTCATTTTTTTGTATTTTTTCCCATTACCATATATCCCCTTTATACCCTCTTCCACCTCCACCTACCCTCCTCCCCCACCTCGCAGTCACCACACTGTTGTTTGTGTCCATGAGAAAACATGGTTTTTTTTTAAGATTTTATTTTTAGAAAGAGTGAGAGAGAAAGAGAAGGAGAGAAACACCAGCGTGTGGTTGCTTCTTGCACGCCCCCTACTGGGGACCTGGCCTGCAACACAGGCATGTGCCCTGACTGGGAATCAAACCAGGGACTCTTTGGTTTGCAGGCTGGCACTCAATGCACTAAGCCACACCAATCAGGGCAGAAAATACATTTTCTATTAATATTCTCTGTGGAATGGTTTATATGGTATATGTGTATGTATGTGTGTTTTTAGAAAAAATATTTCAGAAAGAGCTATAACAAACAGTATAATATAGGCTACTTGTTCTTGTCCAGAGTTTTTAGTGCCTCTCTCTGTCTTTCAGATCTTTACACTCCCAAGACTCAGTCAACAGATATTTATTGAGCATCTATTATATGCTAAGCCCTGTGCTAATATTAAAGTGCTTAAGTTAGAGTGGGGCAGAAAAAGTCTCTGCCCTCCTAGAGCTTGTCCTCTAGTGGAAAAGACAAACATTAAATGATTAAGCATTGAATGAATATTATTATAGGTAGATGTGTGCGGAGTGCCCCTGGCTGCAAAGGCAAAGGGCACGGGTGTAATAAGAGAGTGTGTCAAAGAGATCTAGCCCGGTGTGGCAATCAGGGGCAGCCTCACTGGAGAAGTGATATTTAGGCTGATGCAGGAAGAATTGTACTAGTTGCTAGGTAGACAGGGTAGACATGGGGCTTGTGTTGATCAAAGATTTGTGTGAAGGCTCAGAGGTGCAAGAGGGCTGCTAAGGTTTTAAGCCTTGACTCTAAAGACGATACAACACCATTGAAGGGTTCTAAGTAAGAAAGTGACATCAAACCAAGGAGCAGGGACCATCGTCATAAGGCTATTGTGATGGTTTGATGAGAAAAGGTTGTGACCAAGAGCTAGTTGAAGAGAGAGGAACAGATTTAAGAGGCATTTAGGAGATAGAATCAGAGAATTGGTGATACTGGGTGTGGGCCAGTACCTCCTAACCATTTCTAACTCTTTTTAAAACATCCTTTGCCTTTAGCACGTGAAGTTAAAATATTCAGATCAGGTCATAGGTGTTCATGTTGAGTATCCCCAATGCCACCGTGAGGCCCAGTGATTTACTGACAGGACCTGTGGGAATCAGAAAAACTGGTATTGCACGACCTAGGTGTGTCACAACAGGGCACCGATTAGAATCAGCCAAGGGACAGAACATGTGGGGCAAAGCCAGGAGAGCCAGGCATGGGCTCCTGGGTGTCCCTTCCCAGTGGAGTCACACAGATACGCTTAACTCCCCCAGTGGCAGTGGGTGACAGCACACACTACGTGTTGTCTGCAGGAACACTCTCCTAAGCCTTGGGGTCCAGCGTTTGTACTGGGGATCAGTCACATGGACACAGAGTGCCAAACTGACAGGCTCCACCTGTGGAGCAAAAACACAAGTTAGCATAAAGCATCGATCCAACTGGTACTGTGTGGCCCCAGGCCTCAGGCACAGGAAAACCAGGCAGAATATTCCAGGGGCTCGGAGCTCCTCTCCCAGAAGCTGGCCTAGGGCCAGTCCTAGAAGACAGGCCTTTCTTGGGAATGTGCAGGGTTCGAGCAGCCGAGCTCGCTGAGTTAACCCTTTCCTTGCACGGTGTTGTAGCCTGAGGAACCTGGTCAAGTGTGGGGAGAAAGGTCCCTGAGGACGTGAGCTTTTATGCTTCCCTCATGAGGGAAGCCCAGAGCATAGGCTGTTTTAAGAGATTGTAGCAAGATGTTGAGGACCCCATGTCGTCCCCGTCTTATATAAATGATTCTGTACATCAGAGGGCTCAGTGACGTGGTATGGATAAACCTGGCACTTACTGGGAATTGTACTCGGCAGAACCTGGAATATGGACTTCCTCCTCCTACATTTCAATCTATATAATAATTTCCATAGCTGATTTTAATGTAATTTTATCTATGGTCTGGCATAATTTTCTAAATCTTCTCAGTGGTGATTGTCTACATATTAGAAGTTAGATCTTCCCTTATTACATAGCAAGCAGAGAGTTACACTATTTAGAACCTTCGGATATTTACTTTCCCAGAAAACCTGGGGAATTTGAGAAGTGTTTGTTTTGAAAAGAAAAATATATGTGCGGTGCATTGCGGAAAGACCATTTCCACTGAACCTTTACTTGGAGAAACATTTAATGGCAGAGTCAGATAAGGTGCCTTGCCAGGACCTCCACGGGTGATGTTGTAAGAATAAAAGCAGTGCAACTATTTAAAATGACCAGAGAAGAATGAAGCAAGCGAGCTGGCAGTGAAAAGATTGTTTGACTGGACTGAAGATTAGTCTATTACGGATGAGTAAAGAGAAAAAAGACTGCACTTCTAAGTATTGATAATAAAATGCTCCCTAGGAGAAAAATTTTTATTACTATAGAAAAAATAGCAATAAAATTATGAGTATACATAGTTTTTGAAAGGTCACTGCTTTTCAGAGGAAGAGGTCACACTATTTGAAATGTTACAGTTAGAAAATAGGATCACAGAATGGGTTAGCATGAGGGCTGGAATAAATGCCCGTTTGAAGAGACATCTCCTTCAGTGTTTCCTCCCTTTGTTGTCTTGTACAAGCTATTCAAGTCTCACTGAAGATGTTAAAGCAAAAATAAGTAGCCTTATTATGTTAAGTGGAAATAGGAATCTGAATTTTAAAATTATTGTTTTGTGCCTATCACATAGAGTAATGAATACTTATGCTAAATGTTGAAAGCAAGGGACTGAATATTTACAATTGTGGCAAATTTCTGTTAAATTAGCCCTGGCTGATGTAGCTCAGTGGATTGAGTACAGACTGTGAACAAAGGGGTCACCGGTTCAATTCCCAGTCAGGGCACATGCCTGGGTTTCGGGCCAGGTCCCCAGTGGGGGCCACGTGACAGGCAGTGTTTGTCTCCATCTCCTTCTTCTTCCCTTCTCCTCTCTGTAAAAATAAGTACATAAAATCTTTAAAAACATTTTTTGTTAAATTAATTTGAGTTATTGGTAAGGAAGACTAAATATTTTCTTCACAATCGTGGCTTCATTTCAGTAGTACATTTTTTCTCAAATTCAATTAGCAATTTGTTATAACACTTTATGGCAAACTAGCTATTTTATTTTATAATATTAATTGAAGTCATTGTGGGGTCATTTGAAAGTAATCTTCAGTTTGTAGCATAATCGTGGATAACCTGGGGAGGAGGTTGCACAGGGTAAGAAAGTGCACCAACAAGGACAGCTAACCCGGTGTGGTGCTTGTCGTGTGCCGGGCACCGTTCCGAGTGCCTTACCAGGCATGTGTCGTCCTTATAAGAAGTCTTAGTTACGTTTTATTGTCATCACAATGTTACAGATGAAATCGAGGCACTGAGCCATAAATGACTTGCCTAAGGCTGCACAGCCATAAATGGTTTCAGATAAAACAGAAAGACCATCCAGAGTCTGCGCCGTGGCCGTGCGGCCAGCCGCTCCCCGGGCACCGCTCAGCCGGGACACTGGAGTGCCCCCGTGTGCGGCACGTAGTCTGCTCGGTGAAGAACGGAAATGAAGAGAGAAAAAATCCCCGATGTTAACCAGAATGTTCAAGAAAAAGACACTGAAGAGTAATAATTGTTTTGAGTGGTTGATTGGCCCCTTGTCCTCAACTAGAGTCCAGTAGAGGCAAAGGAACAAAATGAGTGGCTGCCAAAGTGCAGGTATTTTCCAGGAGGTAGCACCTATCGCCCGTGTTGAGAATAAGGAGGAAAAATGGATCGGGAGCTATCGACTTGTGACTTGTGTATAAAATGTTGCACTGAGTATGACTGTGCATTTGTATATTGTTTCAAATCATATAGAAATTAAAGTTATAATTTCTATTCGTCAGTGGTATCATTTACTGATGCCCTGCTCTAAAACTTTATCATCCAGCGTGGTTGGAGACTTGGTCCATCTGGTTTCATTTCCTTCCACTGGAAAAATCTTTGTTGTTTGAACCCTTGTTGAAATTATTAGTTGGTATCGAAGATTTGTCTTCTGTTTCACCTTACCCTAGTCTCTTATGGCAGTTTATTCTACATCTCCCCCTGCCCCATGGTTTCCTCAGCTCAGCTGCAAGCCACACAAGGGGAGAGAGAACCTTATACATCTCCCTTGTCATGCGTCGCACTGACGCCACACAGCACTTGCCACCTCGCGAACTGAATGTAACATGCTTGACTGGTTTTGACAAATAAGACTATAGCAAACCTGGCTCACTCTTTCTTTGGTCTGGGGTGACCTGGTCACGATCGTAGCTACTGATTACAGATCTCCATCATGACCCTGTTGACCTACGGGTGGGAGGCGCTGAGCTGCCCTGAGGACAGGAGCCAGCGTGACACCGCGTCTGGGTGCAGAGTGCCTGCACAGCATGGGGAGCGCTCTGTGCGTGTGTTTAAGCGCGTGTACCCGTGAGTGAACCAGTGCTGCTTTACTGCATAACCTGAGGCATTGATTTTTTTGTGTTTAAATCTCTGCAAGAAATTTGCTTTCTCGAATTAATCGTGATTTTCCTTTAAAATTGAGAGTGTTTAATAGAGTTTTTAAAATCAAAGTTCTATTGTGTATGTTTTTATTTTCTAAAGTCATTGATTTTTAACGTCCCTATTTATGATTACCCTGAAAATGTTGGAATTTAAATTATTTTTAATGCTCAATAACACATTAGCATGCTTTCATAAAAATTGCTCTGCAACATTTTTTACATGCTCACTTCATGTCTGAACGAGTTTGAAGGACATAGAGAATAGAAAGTGAACAGCAGCCTCTTCAGCCCTGGGCAACGAGAAGTGGTACCCAACTAAACGTTCGCTCCTTTGCCCATCACTCGTCTGGGCATGTTGACCTCTAACGTATTTCTTACCCTCTCCTACTGCAGTGGCCACGTAGATCACTTTTTATTTTGTAATTTACAAAAGTTGTTTAACATTTTTTTTCTTTTCTCCCAGGGAAAAAGCTAGCATGGTTGTCCCTGAAGAAAGGGAAGGCAGAAGTGAGACAAACCTCGACCTGGTCAGGGGCTCCGTGTCCACAGGTGTTCCCGTCGACACTCGGAAAGCAGGTGAGTCCCGCCTCCTGTGGCCGGGAAAGGAGGCTGTGAGGTCCCCCGAGTTTCTGTGCAGAGACTTGGTTTTTCTCAACAAACTTAAAAATGGGTGTCTGCTCCCGTAGCCTAGTCTCCGCTCTGCCATTTCTTAACCATGGGTCCTTCCCGAGTCGAACTAAGGCTCCTCGTCTGTAATGTAAGGGCGTGTATTTGATGCACCCAGCTCGGAAATTAGTTGTGTTCCAACATTGCTTTTAACTGTGGCTGGTGGAGACGCTAAATGTACTTTTGCAAAGAAACTTTTGTAAATGGTGATTAGGTTCTTATCTTAACTGGAAGAAGCCAGTATAACCAGAGATAGCAGATAGGAGTTATTCGAGGTACGTTCCCACTTGCCTGTCTGGATTTGTTTGTTGCTCCTTAGCACTTTTCCAGATCCCAGGAGTGTGGTACCGTCTTGCCTTTTAGTACCTGAACTGTGGCAGACCACCAAGACCTGCTGAATTCCAAGCACACTGTGATCGAGGAGTAACCATTTCCCGTTCCCCACATCTCTTTCCCCACGGCAGCAGCTGAGATCAGCCAAGTGATATGAGAAAAGCAGTGTGACTGAGTTGACATAACCTTTGGTAGGATCAAGCACAGTTAGAACAGTGGGTCTCAGAGTTTAGTGTACCTAAGAATAACCTCAGGTGCTTGTTCAAACAGTACATTCACAGACCTCAGTCAATAGACATTCCCATTCAGCAGATCTGAAATGGGGTCAGCATCTCAGGGGCGTCTGATGGAAGTGGTCCTTGGATCATCCTTTGGGAAACAATGCCTGAGAGCACCTAGGCCTTTTGGAAGAAGATTCCTATCAACTTGAACAGGTTGCTGACACTTCACGCAGAACTTCGGGGTTTAAGGCAGTAGGAAGGAAGAAAGACTTGAGTGTGCAGCTGCCTCTCAGAAAGCTCCTCACAGAAGTCTGTCCTTTTGAGTTCAGTCCTCTAAGCCCTGTGTTAGTTTCCTATGGCTGCTGTAACAAATTACCACTTAGTTAGTGGCTTGAAACAATGCACATTTATTGTCTTACAATTCCAAAGTCCAGTGGGTCTCACCAGGCTAAACTGAAGGTGTTGGCAGGCCTGCGTTCCTCCCAGAGGATCTGGGGGAGAGTCCCTGTCCTTCCCCCTCCCCCACTCAGGGGGCTGCCTGCATTCCTTAGCTCGTGGCCCCTCGTCTACCTTCGAAGCCAGCAGTTCCAACTCTAACTTTCCTACTTTTCTTTCACATATAAGGACCCATGGGCCCATCTGGATAATCTGAAATAATCTCCCAATCTTACACTCGGTAATTTAATTACACTTGCAGAGTCTCTTTTGTCATATAAAGTCACATATTTGCAGGTTCCCAGGAATTGGGCGTGGACATCTTTGTGGGCCATTATTCCGCCTACTTTAGCCCTTGTATAGTCCTTAAGCCAGAAGCACTAGCATCTCAAGAGCTCATTAAAATGCAGTCTTAGACCCTATCCCAGACTAAACACAGAGGTTGGCAAAAGTTGGGTTCACAGGTATGATACAAATAAATACAGTCATTAATAAATAATAATATAAGAATAAGCTCTGTTTTTTGTACGCACAGCTATAAAATCTACTTTTGCTCACCCCTGTATAGAATTCACTCTTTACCATATGATTTCACTTATATGTGGGATATAAAACAAAGTAAAAAATGAAAAAACAAAGCATACTCATAGACAGACAACAGTGTGGTGGTCAGCAGAGGAACGGGGGTCGGGGAGGGTAGAGGGTCACATGTACGGTGACAGAGGGCTCTACACTTTGGGTGGTGAGCACACAGCACAGTGTACAGGTGTGTGTCATGGATTCATGCACCTGGAACGTACATAATGTTACTGAGCAGTGCCACCCCAATAAATTTAATTTTTTTAAAAGAGTAAATCTGGGTGGTAGGAATTAAAAAAAGAGGAAGAAGGATCTGCTCTTTAACAAGACCCTGAGTGATTCACATGCACATCAGAGTGGAGAGCTCTGTTTTACAGTGTTTTTTTGTGTTTCCTGCCTCTTCCATTTTCTCATTACTGGAGTCACTGATACAAGCACTCGAAGTTCCAATATTGTTCACAGTAGCTCATAAGATGATTTATACAGCGAGCATTGTTAGGCACACTGTGTGCCGGGCTCTGTCCTAGTAATTGGGAATATAATGACCGATAAAATGGTCAGTGCAGTGATAAGGGACTATAGGGGAACTACAGAGGGAAAATGGTAGTGAAGTGCTGGCATTTATGGATCATTGTAAGTAAGGAACCACCCATTAGTTCTAACTTTCCTACTAGTTCTATAAAAGAAATTGCCTTTATTTACTCTGTATATAGCCTTTTTTGAAAATAGAGGAAAACATGGAAAAATAGCACATAGTATTTTGGAACCATGCGTCGTAGATTAACAACGGAAACATAATTTTAAACTTTAATTGTTATATTTCATCTTTGCAAGTTGTGCCTCAGTGACATTACTTAAAATGCTGCTTTTCCTTAATAGGTGGCCAGGAACAGAAAAGTGCACAGCAGACCATCGTGGTGGACATGCGTGAGTTTCGAAGCGAACTCCCGTCTCTGATCCACCGCCGGGGCATCGACATCGAGCCGGTGACCTTGGAGGTTGGAGATTACATTCTGACTCCGGACATGTGCGTGGAGCGCAAGAGCATCAGCGATTTGATCGGCTCCTTAAACAATGGCCGCCTCTACAGCCAGTGCATCAACATGTCCCGCTACTACAAGCGCCCGGTGCTTTTGATCGAGTTCGACCCCAGTAAGCCCTTCTCTCTCGTGGCCCGCGGTGCCTTCCATCAGGAGATCTCCAGCAACGACGTTAGTTCCAAACTCACGCTCCTCACCCTGCACTTCCCCAGACTCCGGATCCTCTGGTGTTGCTCCCCCCATGCCACCGCGGAGTTGTTCGAGGAGCTGAAACAAAATAAGCCACAGCCTGACGCAGCGACAGCTATGGCTGTTACAGCGGATTCTGAAACCCTCCCTGAGTCAGAAAAGTATAATCCTGGCCCCCAGGACTTCTTGTTAAAAATGCCGGGGGTAAATGCCAAAAACTGTCGCTCCTTGATGAGCCACGTTAAGAACATTGCAGAATTAGCAAGCCTGCCACAAGACAAGCTCGCAGGTATTCTGGGGAACGCTGCAAATGCTAAGCAGCTTTATGACTTCATTCACACCTCTTACACAGAGATCCTGTCTAGAGGGAAAGTGAAAAAATGAACAGTGGTGGCTGTTTTCTTGCCCCGTGACTGCGCTTTTCATCTGCTTTTTGCCCTCCGTGATAGATCGTTATTAATTATTAGCTCAGTATCTCGTTCTCCTCCAGTGTTTTTAATGATTGTGCTATTTCCTAGTTGAGTGGGTCAGAGCCAAGGTTCCTTCCTGAGCTTTGCATTCAGGCATCTTTCCTGACTTTCCTGTGCCAGGTCTCCCTTCCTGTGCCGGCCAAGCCGGTATGTGTGTGCAGTTTTTAAGCAAGGTGCGTCAGGATCAGGTGATGCTTCTGTAAGTGCTTACAGAAGGCCACTTTTGAGACAAGCCAAAGTTCGTGTCCTACACAAACTGATAAAACACACACTCAGTTGTATTCTCACCCTCTGTCCGTAGAGATATTCCCCCGGAACACTGAGACGGAAGCCTCTTTGCCATCCCTGACCAGTTTCTCTCCACATCTTTGTCCATGAGGTACTTCTCCCACCTCTAAGAAAACTTCCTGGGGATTTCCTCCTAGTGAGCTCAGACAGCCACCTCTAAAACCGGCTGGTTGATTTCCTGGACACCTGAATAGGTGCAGATGTAGCACTCGGTATTGTTCAAACCCAGTATTTTTAAAACATAAAATGAATTGCCTATTTATAGAATTTTATGCTATAGTTGAGGAACCCTCAGAATTCTCTGTTTTTACTGAGATATTTAACATCTTAAAGATTTAGTTTTCCTTCCTTGAGACAAAAAAAACTGTAAATATAAGGAAAATCAATGCATAGATTATATAAAAATTCTAAAGAAATATATATGTATTTAAAAATTCATAAAGAAAACAATCTCATTCTAAACCTTCTGATTGATTTTATTTCACTCTTTACTGGTATGTACATACAGGACACAGCATCTTTGTGCAGTTTTTAAACTTTTATATTTAAATATTATTAACTTAGGTATTATACACATATTTAGTAACGAGTAATGATTTTTCTACCTCAAGAGCTGATGTAGATGTCTGTTCCCCAAGCCACACCACGTGGTTTAATGTGTCATCGGTATCAGCCACGCTCTTCTTATTTAACACCTTTTGAGCTCAGAGGAGACCGTGGGCCACGCAACACAGAGATGGTCTCAGCTTCACCTCACGTCTTTTAACTGTCCTCTCCAAACTGAACCACACTGACGCCTTCATTTCTTGGTGTGTTAACCTGTGTTAATACAGTTAAAGTGTATGTGGATTTGGAACTGTGTACGGAGTGCTGCAAGAATGGATTGAGGGTTATCAAAGAGCCCCTTGGTCACTGTAGAACTCTGTACAGTGATCTGGAGGGTAGAGCAGAGGACAAGAAACAGAAATCAGTTTAAGATAAAGACTTGAGCTGCCCACTAATTTTGTACCAGGATTAAAAATATACCCTCGACAATAGAAAACAAAAATGTCAGATACATGTTAACTTTCACTTTTGTATGTGTTTCTGATGAAGTCTTTATCTAAGACTTCGATTATAATTAAAAGTACATTTAAGCCCTCGCTGGTATAGCTCAGTGGATTGAGTGCGGGCCTGCAAACCACACGATCGCAGTTTGATTCCCAGTCAGGGCACATGTCTGGGTTGCAGGCCGGTCCCCTGCAGGCCAGTTCCCAGCAGGGGATGTAGGAAAGGCAACCATACATTGATGTTTCTCTCCCTCTCTCCTTTCCTTCCCCTCTAAAGAAATAAATAAAATCTTTAAAAAAAAAAAAAGTACATTTAAAAAGGCACACCACCTGCCCTAACTGCATGGTTCAGTTGGTTGGGATTCCGGTACACCAGAAGGTCATAGGTTCGATCCCCAGTTGAGGTTTGTATGGGAGGCAACTGCTTGATATTTCTCTTTTGCACCTCTCTCTCTCTCCCCTCCGCCCCGTCCAAAAAATTAATAAACATATCTCAGGTGAGGATTTAAAAAAAGGCATGCCACCTCAAATAGTCACAGTTACTAACATTTTTCTTCACACTATTCTAGCACTCTGCTTGAGATGTGTAATTTCTATTATTTCTTAAAGCAACCAATTTAAACAATCCTAGTTATTAGTACAACAGTGATAACAGTGTAGTCGTATTCAGAAAGCCAGCGTCCTCTGACTCCAATGTTGTTTCTTGCTGCTGTACTTAGTGGACATTTGGAGAGAGGTGCACCATCTCCTGTGTGTTTGAATTATGACTGATATTTGCTAATGGACTCAACACAGTCCATACAGATGAAAGGCTCTCACTGCCACTTCCTCTTCCAACTACATAGGCAGGCTCCAGCACCAATAATGCCCCCTTTACACTACAAAATCATAAGTGTGCAGTTCTGTAACATAACAATATCACACTCAAGCACACCATTGACATTTTAGGTGAAGTGGTCAAATTAAAACTATAAATTACTATACCATCTTATAGCCCTACCCACCGCACTCAAGCAGGCCTCACTTCTGCCGGACCCTGTGTGGATACTTCAATGTGTCTCCAGTTGTGGAAACCCTCTAATACAACGATCATTTCCTTTCATTGAAATTTTTACAAGTTTTTACAATCTTTGGCAAAAGAACTAGAAGTGCACAGTTGAAAAATCAATTTTCTAGCATAACTCTTAGCTCCGCCTCTTTTAAAATCATAAATATCCAATATACATATGAACTCATGCTTAACTTTTTTAAACTTTTTTTAAAAACTGGAGATCCGCATTATTCTATTTTATAAGTGTTTTACATAAAATCTTGAGCATGAGATATTGTGAGAAATTGTTTGTTTTGTTTCTTTAAGTCACGGTTCCTGTCTTTATATTTCTTAAAATTATACAAGAAAAACATTTTTAATAGTGGTCATAAGTAATGTCCTTTTGGCAGTAAGTTGCTATTTCTTCATTCTGAGGCTTTAGTCGAGTATATATTTATGTATATTTTCATACATCCAGAACGCAACTTCCCAGCTCCCAAGGGACTAAAAATAATCGTCCCATTCCTCAATCCATCGGGAACATAGAGGGTTAAATCAAGATTTGATTGTGTTGACAGTATAAAGTTAATAAATGGCCTTGGGCAGGAAAACTTGCTCTGAAGCAAATCTGGAGAAGGGGGCAGGGCAGAGGCAGGCATTACTGGTCCCCACTTTTGTTTTTCATTTTCCTTTGGCTCAGAAAACTAGGGAAATCGCCTTCTCTTTGGTGTTCAGTTTAACCTACAAATGTCCTCTTAAAAACCAAGATTGTAGGAAAACTCTTTTCTCAGCCTTGAGTACATGAAAACTTATCCAGACGTCCACATGAGTTGTCGTTTTTCTTCATTATTTCACTTTGTAATTTGGTTTATAGCTCTTTCCTGTTTAATTCTCAACTTCAGCACTTAATTTACCATCTACATCCATAGGTTTTTGGTGGCCTACAGCACTGTTGCTTTTTGATTTAAGGGTGTGTGTAAACCAAAATTTGGATGGGCTGGAAACATAACTGATTCATATGAATTTGTAACAGAGTTTGTGTGGTTTTAATAAAATGTGTATTTATTCAGTATTTTCCTCAGCATTCTGTAGGTGACCGAAAAATAACAATGTATACTTGAAAAGACATCAATTCCCAATGCTTTATATTTACCATTGTGTTAGTAAATATAATTTTTTAAACAGAATGTTTAATTTGGCTACTTTTCTGTTCTGCAGAGTAAGTGATTAAAGAGGAAGAACTGCTCTTTGAACAACCGCTGTTGTGTTTGGTGTGACTGGTAAATCCACTATCTAAGGCTTTAGTATATTTTTCTTTTGGCTTTTTATTTTGTAGCAGTTCTATTCGAGGAAGAAAAAAACAACTATTCTCCTGAAAATACTCATTTGCTGACATGTGATGAGTATTGGGCCAGCACAGTGCCTGGGACGTCTTAACCCAGCAGAGATTAATCTGCTGCCGTCCCGACTCAAATACTTTTGTTCTTTCAACTTCAAAGCTGAAAGAAGTGAATTATCATTTTGACACATCTAGAATCTATTGTAATCCCTTAACAAGTTAAATTATTAGTTAACTAATTGGCTCATTTCCATGATTTAATTATTGTTGCTTCTGCCTTAAAATGTAGAACCAAATCCCCTTTTAACAAGGCGTAAGACAGGTTATTTCTCAAAATGTTCTAATGTCGTAATAAAGACTCTGCCAGAATAATGAACCCTTTTTTAATGGTAGCGCCATCACTCACGTTCCCATTTAATCCTCATAACAAAGCCTCGAAGGTGCTGTTATTTAAAATCCTCTTTACTCTTGTGAAACTGAGGCCCAGACACATCAAGTGCTTTACCCATGGACGGAAACACCATCTGAACCTGTGGACTCACTCATAGAGTCCACGATGAAACCCTGGCGGTGAGTGGCGGGAGCAGGGAATGGGAGCCTGGGTAGTGTCCACTTTTATGTATCTAATTACAGATGCGTCATAGAAAAGGCAAATTGGTTTGCTTCCATGCATCTCTTAGTTAGTAGTTTTCAGAGCAAGTATGCAAAACTTGGAAGGAGGTCAAAGAGAATACTGAGTAACCTTTCTGTGAAGAGCTGGATGTTGTTCAGTAGTCTGTGCCTCCTGGGGATTATCTGATTTTCTAGGGCCGTAAACCTTTTGCTGACTGATTAGGAATGCCATTTTGTAACTTTATAAGAATAGAAAGGTTCACTTGTAGAAAACTCAGAGAAGCAAAACAGGTAACCCCCAACTTCTCAAAAGTTTACATTATACCACTTCCCTTTCACAAAAGTTCGTAATACTGCTTTCATTCACCAAAAGAAACCCAAAGAGGATTTTTCTCTTTTACAAAAAAAAGGTGACATTTAGCATTTGTTTTGCAGCAAGGTATTACAGAGGCAGTGAGCACTGGGAGTGGAGGGCGTGGCCCGGTCATGCTCCTGCCCCCAGGCGCCGCACTCCGAATCCAGCTGCCACAGTCCTAAACGGTGCCTGTGAGCATCTGAGCTTCATCCGGATCTATTTTGTGCATCTTTTAGCAAGACGAGTCCTTAAGGTGTCAGAAAAGCCTAAGAGACCTTGTGAAAGTGTTAAACTTCCTATGAAACCGGACATGATTAAGCGTTTAGATCCTCCTGAACACAGTAAAAGCATTGTACCTCTGTTGGATATGGACCTGGGGATGCTCAGTTTTTTTCTGTATAAATTAATGGTATTTACTCTTTGTGTCACACCATTTTGGCTTACGAAAGCTTTCGTGGGAACACGGTACCTTCAGATGGCAAGGAAGATCTGCACAAATGGCTCTTGTCCGGCAGCATCACAAAAGTTACTGCCTCGTGGGACATTAGTCAGTTCTGCATTTTTATTTCTGCATTCCTTCACTGGCCAACTACGAATCTCTGGATCCCTGAATTTTCTTTTGAATCAGTCTTAACATCTTACTGGCTTCCTCATCAATTGAATCAAATAAAATCTTTGATTTTCTTAATATTTGTATGAGAGTCATGTTGTAACTTCTTAAAAATTATACTTTGCAAATAGTATTGGTAACATGAGCTCCCATATAATGATAAAATCATACTTCCAGCCTCGTTCATTCTAAAAGTGAAGCTTATAAACTAGAAAATAGATTACATATTATATCTGTATGTATATATATATATGTATATACATATGAACTGTACTCTGATGCTCAATATTAAGGACTATAAAGATATCAATATTAAAAACTATAAATTGATCAACTATTTAAGAACTATGGACTCATTTTAAGATGCTGGGTGGACCCATTTCTCATTTTGTTTTCAAAAGCACAACAGAATATTTCATCTGAGTTGTTGTTTTTTTCTTCGTAGCCATTAACTACCAGTGTTAAAGAGACTGACTCATGAATGAGAAAGAAATGGAATTTTAGATATTCCCAAGGATCCGTTTACATGATGAAGATGTTTGTACGTCGGAAGAACAGCGCTCCCTCCGGCCCGGGAAACAGGTAAACAAAACCAGCTTGTGATTTCAACCACGGGGAGTTGTGAGGGATTCATGAAAATTGTAAATAAACCAGGTCCGAGGAAACGGCGGCATCCTACATGTGAGATGATGGTATTCGGAGACACTCTCTGTAAGTATGAGCTCCAGAATGTGGTGTTGGTGAGAGAATGCCCCTCTCTAAGAGATTGGCTTCCCTGTGCAGTTTCTGGGAAGGGTGACACTCGGCAGAAGCCTCTGGGAAAAGACGGTTGAGCAGGCTGGGGGAGTCGTGACTGGGCAGGTTTGTTCCTGGCAGAAGGCAGTCACTGCACAGGGCAGAGGGCTCTCTAGACTAGAGGCTGCAACGCCCCTGCCCTCAAGGGGCGTACAGTCTTACAGTGAACATAGAAGTCACACAAAGAACCTGAGCAAGTGGGACAATAAAAATGCCCCGAGAGAGGTGCAAGTGCGTGCTCCGGAGGTCAGAGGAAGATGTCATAGCCCACGTGTAGGAACCAGGAGTGGCCTCGGAGAGAAGGTAGAATTCAAGGTGAGTCTTAGGGAACAGCTAGTATTTCATCAGACAGACTTGCAGGCCCATGTGCTTCAGTCCAAGTCCAGAGATTTAGCAAAGAAACAGGTGGGAAATAGAACGGTGATGTTTAAAGAAAGAGTCGTGAACGTTAGAATTGGAGCAGTATATGGGCCACACTGTAGGAATCACTTAAGTGCTAGGCTTGAGGAATTTGCTCTTATTTCAGTAGAAAAAAATGAGTGTTTGAGTAAGGGAAAAATGTGATCCAAAAGTCTGCTTTACAACTTTGATCTGGCAGTAGTGAGTCTGAAATGGAAAGGAACTAATCCTCACTGAGCACTTGGTGGGTGCCCGTATTTTATGTGTGTTCCTGCCCTAAATCCTCACATCTCCAAGGAGGGATTAAACCTGCTTTACAGATGAGGGGACTAACACTCTGAGTGATGAAAAGTTAAAGCCCTCGTTGGAATAAACAGCAGAGGTGTGGCTCCAGCTCCAAAGCCTACTTTCATTCTACCACACCTTGCTACCTGCAAGCAAGGACTGGAGGTGAAAAGACCACTTCAGAAGCTGTTGTGTTGTAACAATCTAAGCCATAGGTGGTGACAGCCAGAACTGAGATTATGGCTTTGAAAATGAAAAGAAGGACATAAAGGACATCAAAGGACAGTCTATGGGATGTGGCAGAAAAAAAAAATGCCTAAGAAGAGTCTGAATGAACACCGAGCATTTTAGCCTATACTCAGGAAATGATGATGCTCTTCACAGAAACAGAGTGTGGAGGGGAACCCGATTGTGTTGGGAAGAAGATTAAGTTCCATTTTATCAATCTGATTTGCAGATCACCAACAGTCAGGCAGACAGTCTCCATTTAATATGTAGTAGACATCTGAATAGAAGTGAGAAATAAAGACATCAGATAACTGATTAAGGCAAAGAAATACGAAGCAGACAGAACTTTAGAAAGACCCTAAATTTAGAAGGTGAGAGGATAGAGAAGACAGACTATTAGAAGAAGATTGTGAATCATGCAACAACCAGGATCAAAAACAGGAGAGAATTTCAAGGGAGTGACTCACAGGACCGGAGCTGAACAGTATGAACATTGGTGCTTCACGATTCAGCAATGCAGAGATCCCAGCTCCTCCCGGGCAGCGGTCCAGGGGGCGAGGGGCGGAGGAAGACGTGAGACAGCGCAGGTGTAGAAACGAGAATGGGCGAGCTGCACGTCAAAGGTGATTTTGCTTGCTGGTGACCAGGAGGAGAGAACACAGTGGGGTGAGAGAAGGAAACTGCTGGGGGGAGCACAGATAATTAATGGAACCCAAACCGAGTGCTGGGGGTGGAGGAAAACAAGGATGGTTTTGCTTCCCTACCGTTCACATGCACAGAAAACCTGGTTTTGTATTGATTTGTCTCCTCTGAAACACCAGCATTCCTAGTACCAGGTACCTTTAACTTGGAACGGAACTGGCAAGTCACAAGCAGCATTGAGCCTTTCTCCGAAGCTTCCTGTTTTAACGATAGCATGCTGCTGTTTCGCAGAGAGGCCTGCTTGTGTTCAAACTGGCAGAGAGCATGGCCTAGAGCCCCTCAGTCTGTAACCTGGCCGTATAGTTTTAGTATTATTTAAAGCATCCCTTTCAGCAGTTTATGAAACCAAAATAAGTGCTGGCTAACGTCCTCTGGAAACTGAAAGTCAACATTCAGCAGTCCTCACTAGCTAATCCTAAAACTTGGTACGGATTTTTATTTTGGTCTACCGAGCTTACTGTAACTGGGGTGGCTGAGTTGCTATGGTGATTTGTTCTCAAAACAGCCCTTGCCACACGACACTCAAACGGCAGATGAATCCGTTTCATGTCGACTTGCTCATGACATTAATGCTGGTCCAAACGTTCCCCATGCTCCTGTCAGGACTTGTGTGTAGGACTTTCCAATCGGTGCCAAGAAGGCATTGGCTAAAAGAATCACAGCTTTGGCTTTTTAAAACCTGGGCCTTCACATTCGTGCCACTGAGTAACTGTTGGCTCGCAGCCCAGAGCTCTACTGCGGGGACCC